ATGGTCACACAAGTAGGAGACTAATTCTCTCCTACATGGAAGGACTCTTTCAGGCAAGGATAAACATTCTCTATGACCACCTGTGTATAGGGACCCAGGGCCACCAAGAGGGCTGTGTGGGGAGAAGGAATTTCCTCCCAGGAGCAGAACATCCACGGTGACCCTCCATACCTGAATCCTATGGCCAGCACACCTCCAATGTCACCTCCAATGTCACCTGCTTTCTGGGGTGACTCTCTCTTTCTCTCCCCCCCCCCCGGTGGAAATTGCATTCAGTGCTGCACCAGTTCCTCTGATGTATCCATGGCAACGTTCACATGGATTTCATAGAACATAAGGTGTTTGAGCAGGAAGGGCCCTCAGAGATCAGCTCCTCCTGCCCCCACATTTCACAGAGTGGGGAGGAGACTCAGAGAGGGGATATCACACAGCCAGGGTAACACAGCAAGTCATGAACAAAGCTAGGTTTCTGCCCTGATAACCCTGTGCCAAACCCCCAGAAACAGTCCGCTGGGTTCTGTAGCATCAACTTCTGGGGACTTTGCCACCATCCCTGCTTGCTAAAAGGCCTCTTAAGTTCAGCCTGGCTCCTCAGTCACAAAGCTGTTCTTCAGTGTGTGGTGAGGACAGGAGTGGGTGGGATAAGTGCTATCCTCAGAAAGGTCACAGGCAGGGCAGAGGCAGCATAGCCCCAGGAAACCACAGAGAGCATCTGGGAGGCAAGAAGTAGGAAAGGAAGGCATTCCAAGTAAAGGCTGGGGTACTGAGAAGGACTCTACTTCTTGACAGGGCTCCATCTCCCAGCACAAGAGAGCCTGCCTGAGGCCCAAGCTCTTTGGGTGGGGCTTGGGTAGTAGTGATGCTGACAGGCTTGGAAAACTGGGCACACAGAGAACGACTGCCTGACCTAGAGGTCATATGAAGTCACCATGGCTAAGGATTCATGGCACATATCACTCCAGGATAAGGGGGGGGGGTCAGATACCCAGAAGGACAAATCAGAAGGCACAGTAACAGTAATTGTAGCCATGGGCCTAAAGGGAGTAGCAGGAATGAGGGTCCAGGAAGCAGGCGTTATCGAAGCCTCAAGGAGACTGGAGCAGGTCTGTAGTGATTTAAACCCCTTACTGCCATGGACCCATGTTGAGTCTCTTCTGCATAGGAGAGCCAACTCTGTGTTAGGATAGTTGAGGGTTGTATCCTCCTTCCCTAGCACATGGTCCTCAGCCCCACCTGCAACAAGACCCTATATCCAACCTCAGGCTCCTGCTCTGGTCTCTTCTCCTTTCCTGGCTGAAGAGCCTGGGATCTGGACATCCTCAGGCCCAGGCAAGGTTACCTTATACACCTGACCTTTCCCATCAAACTGATTCTTTCATTTGTGTTTGATGTTAGCCTGCTGTAATTATTTATTACTGTGTAACAAAATCCCCCAAACACTTATGAACCTGTATGGCATCTCCTGGGGCTTGAATGTCCACTGGGGCCAGGACATCCACCAGTAGATGAGCTTCTTCATGCACGCCTGGCAAATCAGTTCTTCTCCACTGGATTTTTCCACCAGGCTACTCAGGCTTTCTCCCAGCATGGCAGACAGGTTCTAAGGACAACCAACTGGGTATAGACAATAAACTGGGTACAGAATTATTTCTGCTGTATCTATTGTTCAAAGAAACCACAGCTTTTGTCCAGATTCTTGGCCAAGAAATTACCAAAGAGTGAGTTTGCCATTTTCAATTTATCCTGGAGCCCCTGTCTCTGTCCCATGAATGCTGGTGTTCTTTCTTCTTTTAGGCCTGCAGATACTGTCTGTGCTGTCTGTCTTTTCTTTCCATAGTACCTCTGCCCTGGGCTACTGTAGTCTCAGGTCATCTTCCTCCCTGCAGGCACCACTTGTCATTTCCTCTACCACTCCCCCATATTCCTGTAGCACAGTGTTCTCTCTATTGCTCTGTTCAGAAACCTTACATGACTCCTTGGTTCCTTAGCATAATTTCCAATCTCCCAGATATAACACTCAAATTTCCCTTATAATCTGGCCTATTTTACCTTACTTAAATTGAGTTACTTCCCTTGCTGCTCACGTACTGGCATTCAGCGTGGGCATATTGACTGCCTCCAACTGTTGAGTTTCTCCATTTTCTCTCCTGTTGGACCCTTTTGGACTCCTGTTCTACCTTGAAAACCCAGTGCAAATCTCTTCCATAAAACCCTGCCCTCATCACACAGTCACACCAGTGTTGCTTTCATTGTACGCACACTGACATTCCTTCTGCCTAAAGTCCTTCTCAGCATTGATATGGACCTCCTGAAGTAAGGTCTGTGTCTCTAACTCATATTTCTTTCATCAATGTTTTCTTCTTTCATCAATTTAACAACTGCTTATTGAGGCCCAGAGTCAGTTTCCAGGAATATGGCAATGACCAAGACAAGCTGCTTCTTGTGCTCAGAAAGCTTACATTCCAGAGGGGGAAAACAGATGGCAAACAGAAAAACCAAGAGACATAATGATCAAAGATTAGGAGGACTGCTGGGAAGGAAGCAAGAAAGTTAGGGAGCCAGTGAGGGAGCCCTAAGCCAAGAACCTAGAGCTTCCATTTTTCAAGAGAAAACAGAGAAATGGATCTCCTCCTCCTCCTCCTCCTCCTCCTCCTCCTCCTTTCTCCTCCTCCTCCTCCTCCTTCTCCTCCTCCTCCTCCTTCTCCCTCTTCTTTTCTTCTTCTAATTCTAATTCTTCTTCTTCCTCTTCCTCCTCCTTCACCTCCTCCTCCTCCTCTTCTTCTTCTTCATTTTCTTTTTTCTTTTTCTGAGACAGGGTCTCGCTATGCAGTTCAGGCTGGCCTTGAACTCACTTTGTAGCTCAGGCTGGCCTCAAACTCACAGTGGTCCTCTTGCCTTGGCTTACCAAGTACTAAGATTACAGATGTGTGCCAACAACCTGACAAGATCTGGATTTTTATGTAAAAGTTTTACAGAAAATCACATCTTCTCTGCACCTTAAAATTCTCCTCTGTGGGACCTCCACTTGCTCTGGAGAATCTGCCTCCTTCCCATTTTCTGGTTGACTGCCTGTAGCATTCCTCCACCCTTAGAATGACTTACTTGCAGATCCCAGCCCCAGAGCATCCAAATTCCTTGTTTCCCATGCACTGGACTTGCTCTGGGCAGCAGCTGATAGGAGGATGTAGGATCCACTGCCTAGAATCTTAGAGGCAAGTAGGCATTGTTTATTGAGGCCTCCAACTGAGATCCTGGGGTAATCATCCTGTAGGTGGCCTTTGGGGAAGTGAGACACCTAATGTCTCCAAAGCTGCAACAGTGGAAGCCCAATACTCACACCCTAGGCCAACTACATACATCTCTGGGGATTGACCTGGAGAAGGTGGAGGGCCAAAGAAGAGAGACAGTAAAAGAAGGCTCAAGGGACTCCAGAGCTTTTCTGGGTTTGTCCCCCAGCTCTGATAGGTTCCCAAGGGATGAATCAGGACTATCCCTGACATGGGGCAGTTTATGCTCTCTGTTTTTCTTTTTGTTTGTTTTTTGAGACAAGGTCTCACTATATAGTGCCAGATAGTCTTGACCTCACAATGAAGCCCAGGCTGGCCTCAAACTCACAGTGATCTCCTGCCTCAGCCTTCTAAGAGCTAAAATTACAGCTGTGTACAACCATATCCAACAAACAGGATAGATTTAAAGATGTCATGTGCCTGATACACAATAGCACTCATCACTGGGTAGCTTTCCCGGCCTCTAAGAAGTAGGCCACACTAAGCCCTCTTGAAGAACTGCTGCTGGACAACATCCCTTCATTTGGATTTTTCCAAGCCTCTGAGCCCCAGAAGTAGCTAATTATTGGTGCTTTGGGTACTTATAGCTGGGAGAGGTAAGGTTTCTGAACTTGGGATCCTGGTGAAAGCTATCATGTCTTATGGTACCATCAAACCATTCTTCAAGTTCCTAGATAAGTATCAAGAAGCAACCTATCCTAGGAGCACCATTTCATTCTTGAGACACAGAATATGTTAGCTAGGGGTTCTGGACAGAGCACCAAGCAGCCCAAGTAGGGCATTGTCAGGGCCTGGAGATGGGTATGATAGGGTCCAATGTGGGATTTGGAGAATCAGCACCAGCCTCCCTTAGTCCAGAACCTGGAATGGGAAGGTTAAGTCACTAGCCACATCTGAGGGCAAGGTCTTCCACACTCAAGGGCAGAGTCTTTTGGAGAGGACTTTCCAAGGGTTGCCTTCCCCTACTTTCTTTTTCTATAGATCCTCAGGCTTCTAAAAGCTCAGAGAGTTCCGTTAACCCTGCCTTGGGCTGCCATTTATAATCAGCTGTCCACTGAGCCCAATGCTCCCATGAAGCCAGCTTCTTTGCTCAGCATCAGAGTTGGCACTTCTTGGACCCACTTGCCCCGGCGGGGATAGAGCAGAGAGGAGCAGTGGGGTAATAGTAGGTTTCCCTGGATGAAAAGGAACTGAATCCCAGGGTGGCCACCCATACATGTTCTCTGTCCCCAGCACCTTCAACTCAGGAAGAACTTCCTTGTCCCAGGTCTGGTGACACATCCAGCGAGGGGGGTCACTGGACTGTGGAGGGAGGGACAGTGCACAGTGCATCGAGGTAACATACTACCCAGGTGGTCTCGGAGGAGGAGCAGGGTCCCTTTTTTTTTTTTTTTTTTTTAAATCCTTTTTCTTTTTGAGACAGGATCTTACTATGCAGTTCAGACTAGCCTTGAACTCATTTTGTAGCCCAGACTGGCCTTAACTCGAAGCAGTCCTCCTGCCTGGGTTTACCGAGTGCTGGGATTACAGGTGTGCACTACCACGCCCTGCTGGAACCTGGTCTCCACGACTGACTGCTCCACCAGGCCGGGGTTCAGGAGCTGCTCAAACCCCTGTCTCTTTCAGCCTCTTGACACCACCCGGGCGATCTCCTTTGCATGGCCACGCCCCTCTCCGACATGGCCATTGGCGGAGGCAGAGGTGGGAGGCGGGGCCTGGGCAGCTGAGCTGCCTGTGGGATGGCTGTGGCGGGGCGGGTGCGGGGTGCCCGGGATGCCGCCGCGGCCACCTTTCGGGTTCAGGTCCGGCTGGGGCTTACTGGGCGCAGGGAGCGGGGTGACCTGCGGCACTACGGGCGCAGAACGAGCGCACTAAGCACCTGCCTGCCATGTCTAGAAAGAAGACCTCCAAGAGCAAGACGGGCACTGTGCCCGCTGCCTCTGTGCTGCCTTCCGCTAATGGGGCTCGGCCTGTGCGCCCTGGCCCCGAGGCGCCACCCAACGGGCCCCATCAGCCTGGCCGACTGTCGCTTGGTGGGGGTGGTGACTTCTACGACATCGCCTTCAAGGTGAGCCAGGCACCTTGCCCCCGGGCGCGTGCAGCAGGTGGCGTCTAGTCGTCTGGTCCGAGCCAAGAAGGGAGGGAGCCTGAGAAGGGGCGCAGGGCACCCTGGATCTGGCGGAGGACACCTCGCTGCTGGCACAGCTGCAATGTGCACCTCGCGCACACACACAGCTGTCAGGCTCTGTTTGGGGTACTCAACAGCTGGCTGGGCCTCCCCTCCTCCCTTCTCAAGGGAGAGCCACACAAGGGGTCTTGGGACATCAGAACCTGGTAGGCACCCCTTCTGGAACGTCACTCTCCACCTGGGTTCCAGTTTCATCATTTCCCATATGTTGCCTTCTCTCACCCAAGGGCTGTGAATCTCTTTTTTGGGGGGAAGCAGGAGGCTGGGAAGAGGTTTGCCAGTTGGATGGGGAGACTGAGGCCTCCCCCAGACCAAGGCAGAAGCTATGTGAATTTGGCGGGGGTAGGTAGGATCATCTTTGGATTTTTAGAGCATTTAGCAGCAGGCTGGGTGGGGGAGGGAGAGGGCTTGTTTGTCCCTTCTGTCCAGGCCTACCTCCAGTAAAGATCTGACCCTGGGCTGGAAATCCTGCCTAAAAAGGCTGCTGGGATTTGTATCTTTGGGGGGATTTGAATAAACTCTTATGAACAGAGGTCCCTGGAGGTCTCTTGGGAGGTCCCAGCTCTCATTACCCTCTCCAAATGCTTCCCTCCCAGATCAAGCTTGACTTTCATTGGGGGGAAGGCAGCTGCCCTCACTCCCACTGATTGAGATGGGTCCTGTTGGGTGGGAAAGAAGGAATCAAGATTACCAGAGGTAGAACTGCTGTTTCCACAGGCCATCTGAATCTGCAAGCCTAGGACAGCCATCTCCTCTCCTGCCCCTCACTTTCGGACCTTTCTGGTTTGGGCAGTTTAGGCCAGATTAAAAACCCTCCCTAGGTGGGCTAGCATCCTATTCCCTTTTGCCCTGGCCTACTTCTGACTGTTGGCCTATTCCTGTCTGCCCTAGGTCATGTTGGTGGGAGACTCAGGTGTGGGGAAAACTTGCCTGCTCGTGCGCTTCAAGGATGGTGCTTTCCTGGCAGGCACCTTCATCTCCACTGTGGGCATTGACTTCCGGGTGAGAGTGGGGCTCTGATCAATTCCCCCTTCATGAGCGGAGTCCTCCCAGTATTCTTGGGCAGCAGCTAGTTTTCCATCTTCCCTATGGCAGCCACAGTTCTCAGGATGTAGAGTTCCTAGTAGTTGCTTCCCAGACACTGGACACCTTAGCCACCAAACTGACTCCCAACACCCAAGGGTCCTGAGATCTTCCAATATCTGAGGTGGTAGTTGCATCCAGGTGAAGTAGACTTCACCTGCACCAGGGGCTGGAATAATCCTGGGCTGTATTCCCAGGGTACTGACAGAAGTAGCTCAAAGCCCACTTCCCTTAAGCCAGTCACTGCCCCATTGCAGAGGTGGCTTAAGGCTGACAGCCAGGAACCTACCCAGGTCCTACAAGCCAGGTGGCTGTAATATAGCCCAGGAGGTATTTCCAGGCCTTGTTTGGGGGAGGGGTCCCTGCCTTTTGGTGTGGCCACCCCCTATTATCCCAAGCAGGAATCTGTGAGGCTCCAGCATCAGAACTGGTACCTCTGGCCACCAGTCTAAATCCTATGTACTGAGGGGCTGGTGTGTTCTTGGCAAATCCTGAATTTGCATTTTTCTTACCCTTTAATTAGATCCAGTTAGCTGGAGGCTGGGACAGTAAAGGAGGGCTTCCTCTAGTTTGAGCTGTCCTCCACCCAAATTGAAATGAAGGGCTGAGGTGCCAGAACAAGTATGGGGACACATGACTTTTTGCTTGTTTAGGCTCCTCTTCCCCTTGATCCTGGGGCAGGTGATGAGGCCAAGTGGATGAATGTTTGCACTCCAATTCAGAGTGCTAGGAAAGACGGTGTATTCTCTCCAGCCTGACAGATGGTTCAGTCTGGTTCCCCGGAAACCTAGAAGCACCTTTACAGCAGTAGCTTGGGAAGTGGTAGAGGTACCAGCTGCCCAGGGCTGCCCTTTCCCATCTGAGGGGAGGGGACTCTGGACTTTGTGTCTGGTCTCCCACCTGGAGAGCACTGTCAGACACAAATACAAGTACCTATTGTATGCCTGACACAGTTCTGGACTGAGGTTTTAGCATCGGGTCAGACAGACACAAGCCACCCCTTGGGGACTCCATGTTCCAGTAGGAAAACTTTTTTTTAAAAAAGGCCCAGGGGAGGTCTTTCTTTAGGGAGCACAGTTCTCAGTGCACACAACAGCTCTATGATGGAAATGGTACCCTAGCTGTCTCCATTTGTAGTAAGGAAACCAAGGCAGTGTCAGTAACAAAGTTTTGAGTATGGATTTTAGTGTGGCCAGGGTGCAGCTCAGTGGATGTTTGCCTAGTGTGGTAGAGGCCCTGGCTTTGATTCCCAGCATGAGGGGGTGGGGCATACAGTGGTTCTAAGTAGAACCCCCCACACCCCACACCCCAGCACATCAGAGGTGTCCATTTTTTGTAGCAGGGAAGAGGCTGACTTGGCCAAGTGAGTACATGGAAGCCCATGCAGAAGCCAGGTAAATGTGGCAGCCAGAGCTGGGGTAAAAGCCAAGGGGAAGGGAAAACAATGGCATTTGGCGTAGGATACAATAGGGTTAAGGCAGGGGGCCTTTCAGGTCAGTGGAACTGGTAGACAGGAAGACAAACCTGGCCCAGGATAGGTATAATGGTAGCTGTAGTCCCAGCACTAAAAAGGTAAAAAAAATTCAAGCCCAGCATCAAAACAGCTATCTGAGCAGGAGGGCCATGGGCAGTTGTGTAGCTGGAACCACTTTAGATTCCCAGCAGGAGAATCTGAAGTGGACAATGCTCAAGAACGACTTAAGGACTCAGCTAAGGGACTTTCATTCTTCTAGTCTGTGGACAGGGAATCGGCCCTGATCTGCATCCCGCCCTTTGGAGCCCCCAGGGATAGGATTAAAAGTACTTATTGGAGCTGACTGGTTCTGTTTCAGAACAAAGTTCTGGATGTGGATGGGATGAAGGTGAAGCTGCAGGTAAGATGACTTGGAGAACATATTGGGGGCAAGGGATAGGAAGGGGCTGGACAGCATGACCAGTGCCTGTTGTTACAGATCTGGGACACAGCTGGTCAGGAGCGGTTCCGCAGTGTTACCCATGCCTACTACCGGGATGCACATGGTGAGCCCATGAAGATGGGATTAGCTCCTCTGGGAGTCAGGGTTTTGACTTGAGCAAGAGGGTATGGGTAACCAGGAATCACTGGGCCCAGGTGTCCTTATTGTCCTCTACCCTCAGCACTGCTGCTCCTCTACGATGTCACCAACAAGGCCTCCTTTGACAACATCCAGGTCAGTAGCCTGCTTTCAGTGGGATAATAGGCCATGATGGCCCAGATGGCAACAGACTCCCAGAGTTCTGAAGACTGTGTTGACAAGAGGAGGAATGGTGGGCTCCTCTGGGCTTGAAGTGGCCCTAGTTGAGCATGAACTAAACATAGGGTTGGGCGACATCCAGCTCCCTCTGGAGAGGGTGGGCACCTCTGCCCAGAACAGGGAGTAGTTTCTGGAATTGCACATTCCATCAGGTGTGGCCTGGAGGGAACAAGGTTATGAGAGGGCAAAACATGCAGGGGGTACCAGCTTCCGCCTGGTCCTAGCTCTCCCCACACAGGCCTGGCTGACTGAGATCCAGGAATATGCCCAGGACGATGTGGTACTCATGCTGCTGGGTAACAAGGTGGGCAGGATACTCTGCTCTCTCCACCCTGGCCCCACAAGGCAAGGCAGGTAAGGGGGGTGGGTAGGCAAGCCATGGGCCAGCTGTCTCCAAAACCCTGTGCCTGGAGTAGGTGGACTCTGCCCAGGAGCGTGTGGTGAAGAGGGAGGATGGAGAGAAGCTGGCCAAGGTGAGTCACGGCGGGGTGGGTGGCAAGGAGGGTGCCCCTGAGGCTATGGAGCCTGGGCTATCCCCACACCACCACCCAGCTGGCAACAGCTGTTTGCAGGAGTATGGACTGCCCTACATGGAGACTAGTGCCAAGACAGGCATCAACATAGAGTTGGCCTTCACTGCCATAGCAAAGTAAGTAGGAGTAAACATAAATATCCAAGACCTAAGGTCTGAACCCCCTTATTGGTGGTTCAGATATCAGTTTGTTTCATCAATACTCTGGCTTTTCAGGGAGTTGAAACAGCGTATCACAAAGGCACCCAATGAACCCCACTTCCGGCTGCATGACTATGTTAAACGGCAAGGTCGAGGACCCTCCTGCTGCCTATCCTGAAACAGGGTTAATTCTAAAGGGACCCAACCCCAGAAGACTGGATGGAAACTCTGCTAGCAACTTCCAGGGATCCCCGAGTCAAGCCTCACCCCTTCCCTGTCCTAACAGCAATCTCAAACCTCCATTCCCACAAAGCAAATGTCTAGCTTCAGAGAGGGCTCCCTGCAAGTGTAACCAGACCATGTTGTGGGGCTCTGCTGCCCTCTTCTGGGCACTCCTAAAGGACTGTTCTCCAAAGACCAGCCAAAACTGGCTAAGGTACCAATGTGTCAAGCCACAGCTAAGACCTGAGATTCTGAACTCTACTTGTACTAGTACAGTGATTAAACCAGTCTTTTGGTTGCAAGCTGTTTTGTTTTTTTGAAATTGGGTTTCACTATGTAGTCCAGGCTGGCCTCAAACTCCTGACAACCTTCCCTGCTCTGCCTCCCAAGTGCTGGGATTACAAGGGGTGCACTACCACCTTGATTCCAAGTTTGTTTTCATTTCTAGTGAATAAAGGTATGCTTTCTGGAATTTGTCTTGTCTGTTGAAATCAGGTTCTAGAGCTTAGGGGAGTTGGTGAGACCCAAAGCTCACCACAAGATGGGTAAAGTTCCTTTACAACCCAGACTGCATCCAAGTTCAATGTTCTTTAGGGAGTACTTGGGAACCTCGGTGATTAGATTCCCAGGGACAAAGGCATAAAAAGTAATCTTTTGGTCTTACAGGCAAAACTAGGTAAGCCAGGCTAGGAGCCAGTCAAGTCATTAATAATGAACTTCATTTTAATGCTGTTCTCCTTTCCGTTTGCCTGTGGATGAGCCTGTCCTCTATAGAATGATATCAGGTTAAGAAAATACCAATGCTAGACAGAATTACGATTTGTTACTTTTGCTTTATTGCTAAGCAGTTCAGTTGACACAGACGCCCACCTTACCAGATCCTCCTGCCCATTGAGTCTCTGGATCTCAGCTGATTTAAGTTCAACGTCTGTAGCCGGCTCAGCACGACTCTGAAAGTCAAAGAGTTCGAAATGTAGATAAGCCTGTTTCCTCCGTGCCGAACCCTTCCCGTTAAGGAAGCTCACTCAAGCCTCAGTTTCGCAATATAATCAGACTGCACTATGCAGTTCTCATACGAGGTGTCAGAATTTAGAGCAATTCATCATTGGCTTGGAGCTGCATCCAGGTAACTAGGCCTGGCCCAGTCTTACCTGCCGGCGGTTCAAGAAGATACATTTAAACGACAATGGCTAAAGTGGAGCCAGGCCGAGGATGGATTCAAGGCCATACAAGCCTGCAGGGTTCGGGAGATGCCCAAGATCCCATTAAGCGCAAGACTTTTTCCCGTACTGTAACATACCATCTACAGAGAAGAAGCATTCAATCCTCGTGCTCTATCCAAAAAGAGGGCGTTCCTTCCCGGCTCAAGCTTTTATAGAAACTATTCCACTTCTATGATTGGGCAGTTCTGGCGGAAGTGCCGCCTTTCTTCGCCACTGATACGCTCCGCTCTCTACCCGACGGAGATCCGTGCTACTCCTTTTTGCAGAGACCATTGAGCGCAACTGTGAATGACGGTGCATAGAGTCAATCAGGCTCCGATGTGCAACATAGAGTGATTCTTAAGCCTCCAACCCTCCCCGGTACTCCGGGGCCGCCATAAATCGTAGTTTCTGAAGCACCGCGCTTGAGATAGCTGCCTGGGTCACTAAAGCCAGTGAACTACGAGTCCCGGCGAGCTCAGCGCCTGAACGCTTCCGGCTCGCGCGTCTTGTTCCTTTCTCCGCTAGCGGCAGAGGGGGCACGATGAAGCTAGCGGGTGGTGCTGCCGCTCCCGGGCAGCAGGCGGGTGAGTGTCCGTGCGGCGCGCCCGATCCACAACTCTGGCTTCTCGGCCGTGCAGGGGGTGGGAACAGGCGCATCCCGAGCCTGGCTTGGGAGTGTGGGGCCGAGACGGGCCCGGATCTCCGCGTCCGTATCTCTCAGTTTGTCCACCAGTCACACCTTTGCTTCATTTTTTCTTGCATTTATTGAGCCCCTCCTCGATACCAGGCACTGTTCTAAGCGCCAGGGAGACTATGAAGACCGCGAACCTAGTTTTATAAGCTCATAGGATCCAGGGTCCCCCAACCTGAGATGACAATTCGGGCTGGATTGTTACATACTGCGAGGGGCTGTCCTGTGCACTATAGAATGTTGAGCATCCTCCCTGGCTTCTATTCACCGGAAGCTAGCAACCTCCCCACTCTCGTTGTGACAAGTATTTCAGCAGACATTGTCAAATGTCTCCTTCATAATCCCTGGTCTAGAGAGACAAGGAAGAGACTGACAATAGACAAAATCATAAGGGATTAGGATAGGTATTATGAAAGAAACTGCTTTCTGGGAAAGTGAATACTGAGGACTACTGCCTTGGTGGAGAACCCTACAGTTGGGCAAAGACCTGACAGAGAAGCTATCAGTCCTGGGATATTGCCGGAAGAGATTACAGGGTGGAACTAGGAGAAAGAGATTGGCGCACCCCAGCGAGTACTGGTGAGGTGGTGGAGAGGTGAGGTTAAGAAGGCCAGATGATTCCACAGGGTACGGGTCAGGGATTGTACGGGGCTTCAGACAGGCTGTGGAGGACTTGTTGCACAGGAGATGGATCATATCTAAGTCTGGAGCCATCTGGTTATGTGCAGTGGGTGGGTGTGAGGATTCAGTAGAAACACAAGACTGAGGTAGGCCAATATGGTCAACTGAGGCTGGGGTCCTGGGCTCTCTACTTTGCTACCTCACTTGCTTAGGAGCTCCATTTGACATACTATTGGAGATATAGAGCCAGATGGCTCTAATCCCTGCACTCAGGAGGCCAAGGCAGGAGAATCACCTCGACTTGGAGGACAGTTTTGGCTAACGAGTTCGAGGTCAGCCTGCACTAAATAGCAAGAATGCCACAAAAAAAACAAAAAAAGAACTCCATTTGCCTACCCCTATGACTGCACCCCTGTCATACCACCCCACAGCTCTCTCCCCATGTACACGTAGGTCTTCTCTCTTCGGGGCTGTTAACCCTGGTTTTCAACAGGCATATATTTCCTTTTTCCTCATTCTTTCTCTGGCCTCTCCCCAGGTCCCTTTCTGTGACAGGCACAGGCATCTGTTATAAATCTCTACCTGGGCATTCACAGTTCTCTGTGGAACCTCTAATCCTTTTATCCTGAGGTTCCCTGTATCTATTTACTGAATAACTCCCAGAACCCAGAACTTCATTCTGAGGGGAAGTAGGGATATGTGCTGTTTGGCTGAGGTGACAGGCTAGGAAGGTGTGGCCAGGAGTGACAGTCCAACCTGAGAGGTTCCTTGAAGTTATGCCCTGTGACTTTGTGGGATGAATAGAAAAGATCAGAGTCAGGACTGGGGATTTAGCTCAGTGGCGTAAGTGCCTCGCCTTGCAAGTGTGTGGTCCTGAGTTTAATACCTGGTACCGATTAAAAAGAAAAAGACAAAAAAGAAAAAAGAAAAGATCAAAGTCTAAAGTACCCATGGAGCAGTACTTCTGACAGATAGAATGGAGATTAGTGGGGGCTCCTGTCTCCTCCGTTGGCTCTCAGCTCCTCCAGGGTGAAACTCGTATTTAGCCTAGCACGTCCCCAGTCCCTGGTACTGAGTAGTATGAACTTTGGCCTGCAATTTGACAAAGAAATAGCAGGTGTGGGAAATGGGTAGAAGGTGAGTTAAAGGGCCTAAGCTGGGCAGGACATACAAGCAGCCCCAACTCTGTGGCTCTGTCACTTTCCGCCTTGGCTTGACAAAGGGCTCAAGGGCCCAGCAGGGTTCCTAGGTTTGGCTATCAGTGGTGAAGAAACCAGAAGGAACAGAGTTTGAGTCAGCCTTGGTGTTACTTTCTACTGGCCAGGTACGTGGGCCAATCTCTCTGCCTCTCTTAGCCACCACCACTTTGAGCTTTTTTGTTTCTGAGAGAGGCCTGTAATTCAGGCTGACCTTGGACTCACTATATGGCCCAGCATGGCTTCGGCCAGTGGCAATTCTGCCTAATTCTCCTGAGTGCTGGGATTACAGGTGTGGATCATGTGGATCATTATGTCCGGCTCTAGTTTGAGCTCTTAGTGACAAACTGCTATTAGAAAAGCTGTCACTGTTTATCATGTGTCACCTCTCTTTTTTTTTTTTTTTTTTTTGTCTTTTTCATTTTTATCGGTACCGGGGATTGAACTCACAACCTGCCTGCTTGCAAGACAGGCACTTATGCTGCTGAGCTAAATCCCCAGCCATGTGTCACCTCTCAAAGCTCCTTCCAGATTTGTCCATCTCTACCTTGTTTTATGGTCAGAAATCTATGACAGTTGAGGATAAGCAACTCACCTAACCACACATCTATTTAAGCTGAAGAGGTAGAATTTGAATCCAGGTCTCTCTGAGTCTGGAGCCTGTGGGCTTGACCTGTGATAGACACTTCAAGGGGTCTATAAGAGTGTGTGTGTAAAAATGCCTAGAGCTGGCGGCTTCTCTGAACCAGGGTCCTCACAGGTCTAGTCTTGCTAGTAAACAGGCACCTTGTATTTTACCAGCCCCCTGAAGGGCTCATTAAGAAAAGAGCCTTGGAGAAGGACACCAAGCCTTCACCCTTTTACAAATGCTTTAATTTTAGGGCAGAGAAATGTGGCTGTTCCCTAGAGGATTGTGCTGCCAGGTGAGGTAGATGAAGAACAGCCGCTGGGGGCTAGAGTTGATATGGGTACTGGTGCCAGGAAGTTCCAGATAGATGAGAGGACAATCTGGAAGCTGGGGAGTGGGAATGAACTGATCCCAGGGGAGAGTGCCAGAGTGGAAGGGGAAGCCTTGCAGACCCCTGGACTAAAGGTTAATGGACTCTGAGTGATGGTACATAATGGGGAGGGAGTGGCATGGGGCCCTGTGCATTCCCAGAACTGCCCTTAGTACATTCCCAGCTTCTTTTTGAGCAGCAAGGAGAAAGTGAAGCCATGCAGGAAGCAGTGAGAAATCTGCCTGAGTAGTCCTGAAAGATAGAATGAGCGTAGGATGGGCTGGGTACTTGACTCTCAGGTGAAGGTCCAGAATCTGTTCCCAAGAGCTTGAGACTGCCTTGATTTATTTAAGATAGGCAGGCACATGCTTCCTAGTTCTATCTGGTCTATCAGCTAGGTGTTGAAACAGGAAGACAAATGCCATCTCTTTCCATGCCTCAGAATTTGCTGCCCGCCTACTCTAGATCTGGCCAGCCCTTGCTCTGAGAAGCCCTCTTGACTTCTTTCAGACTAGTCCTGGTCCCTGCACAGATACAAGACATACAAGATCTGCAAAAGGAAGGACAGGGACACGAAGCCAGCACCAAGGGCAGTGAAATGCATTCTGGCTGGGCAGTGGAGCTGAGTAGGAGGGACTCTTTCCCTCCAGTAGAGAGAGCCATGGATGCTGGAGAGACTCAGCCCGGCAGGCAGGCTGGGTGTGGGGTGCCAGAGGGAAGTCCAGCCAGGTGTTGTGGCACAGGTCTGTAATCCCAGCATTTGGGAGACCCAAGGCAGGAGGATCACCATGAGTTGGAGGCCAGCCTGGACTACATAGTGAGTTCAAGGCCAGCCTAAGCTACATAGTAAGACCCTGTCTCAAAACAAAACAAAACAAAATAAAACAGAAGCCTAGGAAGGGGGAACAAGTTAAGGAGCTTCTACAGAGCTGGGACTGTGGGTGTAGAGAGCAGAGAAGAGTTGAGGTAAGGGAAATGGCTGGGCTAGGATGCTGGGTGGTGGAGAATACTAACCAGTTCTTTGCCCAGGATCGGCAGAGCTTCTAAGGGGGTCTTTAGGATCAAGGGAAGCAGAGGCCAGGAACACTCCAGGCCACCCCTCCACTCCTGTGTCATATTGCCTGGCTGATATGGAAAAGATGTGCTAAAGGGCCATCAGAGAAACAGCCAGGGAAAGTTCATGTGACTTTGCTGTGGTAACCAGGCTTGTTTCTATAAGACTTGGCGGCAAGGCCTGGACCTGAGCCAAGGGGTCAAGATGGGGCTGAGCTAGTGGTTGGGCCATCTGTGGCTCACTAGGGATGGCTTCATGATACCAAGAGCTGTGTTTGGAGGTGTGGCTATAGTCCATCCTGTTGTCCACCCATAGCTCAGGCAGGGTTGAGGCCTCTTTGAGTTATCCTAAGTTTTTCCCAGCATGGTCACAGACCTAATGGGACATCCAAGGTGTGCCTTCCCTATACTAACATACTCTTCAGGAGCTGTCTCTCCACACTCTATGTGCAAGGAGCTATTTGGCCCTAGGAGGGACTACAGACTCCCTCCATCCTTCACTGTAGCAGGGCCCATCTGAGCTGACCTCTCCACCAGCTGCCAGCCGCAGAGTCTAAGTGGTCAAGGATCCTGCCAAG